CGAGCACTCGGCCTTCATGTTTGCGATGTACGGTCCGATAAGGGAGCAACCGGCCTCCATGGTCACGGCCGCGGCGACGTGCGACGGCCTCACCGACCACCTCGTCGACAGCCGCACCAGCAGCTGCGCCGACGCTGGCGTCAGCTGCCCCGCCGGCTGCGGCGCGGACAGCCGCGCCAACCGTTGCCCCGACAGCATCGCCGACAGCTGCGCTGGCGGTATCGCCGACAGCTGCACCGACGCCCGCACCTACAGCTCCGCCGGCGGCTCTGCCAACTGCAGCACCGACACCCGCGCCGTCTGCAGCACCGGCAGCCTCGCCGACAGCTGCGCCGACTGCGTCGCTGACGGCTGCACCGACACCCGCGCCCACGGCTTCACCGCCAGCACCGCCAACGGCGGCGCCGACGCCTGCGATTGCTGCGGCACCGGCAGCCGCCGCGCCGATAGCGGCGCCGACGGCGGCGTCGATCGCGGCACCGATTACGGCACCGACAATCGCGCCGACGGCGTCACTGGCGTCTCCGCCAACCGCGGCATTGGCAGGGCAGCCGTCGTGGACAGCGCCGATGCGAGCGTGAGGCCACTGGCGATCGAGCCCGGACCGGACGCCGAGTGCGAGCTGGTCAGCAGCGGTGACACGGCGTTCGACGTCGCGAAGGCTTGCGGCCTCTCGGTTGGGAACGCTCCGGTGGAGGGCGGCCTTGTCGCTCACGTTACGAAGGTGAGGCAGCGGGTCAAGGCCCGGGGTGCCTATGGCACGCGCCCGAGCGAGGGGGCTGGCAGCTGCAGACGCAGCGGCACCAACTGCAGCTACGCCGGCCGCGGCCCCGATAGCTGCGACGACCGTGGCGCTGACCGCCTTGCCTACAGGTACGCCGACGGCTATGCCTGCGGCGCTGACGGCCGAGCTGACCGCGGCACAGTGGGCAGCCGCGACGACGTCGGCAGTTGCGACGGCATCGGCAGGGACAGTGGCGCAGCCTGCGGCGCGGACAGCCGCGCCGACTGCGGCGCCGACGGCTGCGCCAACCACGGCGCCGACTGTCGCCCCGACCGTGAGCCCGACGAGAGCACCAGCGGGCTGATCGAATGGCCCGCCGACAGGCTCACCGGCTGCGGCACCGACAGCGGCGCCAATGGCTGCAGCCACGCTCTCTGCGGCACCGGCGGCCGCGCCGACGGCTACCTCGACAGCCACGCCGACGACAGCCCCGTCAGTTACGCCGACAATGGCACCGACTGCTGCACCGACCTCGGCGCTGACCGCGGCGCCGACGGCGGCGCCTACGAGGCAACCCGCAAGGGCGTGCCCGTGGAGGGCGTCTCGGGTGGCGGGCGCGGCCGCGCCGACCGCGGCACCTACGGTGGCGCTGACGGCCACCCCGCCAGCGGCGTTAACTGCTGCGCTGGCTGCGGCACCGACCGCCGCGCAGACTGCGGCACCAGCAGGCGCGCCGACAGCATCCTCGACGGGGGCGCCGACAGCGGCCCCTACTGCAGCGCTGATTTCGGTACCGGCCGCGGCGCCGACAGCGGCGCTGGCGCGGTGAACTTGAAGGGCGCGCTCGTGGAGGGCGCCTCGGATGACTGGCACGTTCTGGACAGCGGCCCAAAGGCTGCCGAGGAGATCGAGGCTGCGCTGGCGGGTCATAAGACGGCTGGTACGCCGACGGCTGCATCGACGGCCTCGCTGACAGCTGCGCCGACCACGGCACCGACAGCTGCAATGACAGATGCGCCGACCGCTGTACCAGCCGAGGCGCCAACGGCGGCACCGACAGCGGCGCTGGCGTCTGCGCTGGCGGCCTCCAGGCAGCCCAGACCTCACGGGCGGCGCACGCCGGAGGCAGCTGCCACCGCGGCCCCGGGGGGCGCCACCGTACTCGCACCGGCCGGGGGCGCACGGCTCGCACCAGCCTCAGGGGCGGGCGTTGGCCCACCCATGTGCGACGGACGGCGCGCGCCAGCGGCGGCTGCGGCCGCGGCCCCGAGGGATGCCCGCCCGTCCTCGCCCGCCAGGGGCGCCCGGCGCGCACCAGCCTCCGGGTCAGCAGCGGTCCCGCCCATGTGGGACGGGCGTCTCGCGCCAGAGGCGGTGGCTACCGCGGCCCCGGGGGATGCGGCACTGACGGCCACGGCGACCTCGGCGACAACGGGGACATCGACTAGCTCCCCGACGGGTTTCCCGACTCCGGCTCCGACTGCGGCGCCGCCAGCTACGCCGACCGCCACGCCGGCTGCAGTATCGACAGCCGCGCCAATTGTGGCACCGACAACGGCGCCAATTGCGGCACCGACGGCGGCAGCGGCTGCGGTACTGACAGCTGAGCCGACGGTGGCCCCGACCGCCTCACCGACTGCGGCTACGGTGGCCGCGCCGACGACGTCGCCGACAGCAGCGCCGACGAGTGTACCGACCGCGGCGCCGACAGCCACTCCGACAGCCGCGCTGGCAGCGGCGCCGACGGCCGCGCCGATAGCGTCGCCGACGGCAGCTCTGGCCGCCGTGCCGACCGCGGTGCTGACCGCTGTGCCGCCGGCCGCGCCGTCTACGGCACCGACCGCTGCTCCGGCTGCGGCTCGGGCCGCCCCGTTTACAGCGGCGGCGGCGGCTGCGCCGGCTTCGTCGCCTACGGCTTCGCCGATTGCTGCACCAACGGCAGCGCCGATGGGCCGTCTGTCTGTTGCCCTGGCCGCGGCACAGACAACCGCCTGGACAGCGTCGACGACGGTTGCACTAGCCGCTGCACCTGCAGATGCACGGTTCGGTTCGCCGATGGCTGAACTGGTCACGACACCGACGGCTACTCCGACAGCGGCGCCGACGGTCGCGCCGACATCGGCGTCGACAGCGGCCCTGGCCGCCACGGCGACCACGGTGCTGACTGCGGCGGCGACTGGCGCGCCGACGAAGGGCGCGACGACGGGGGCGAGCGGATCGACCTACGTTGGCATGTTCGCCGGCAGCACTGGCATCGAGGGCCGCGCGCTGTCCGCCACACAGGAGCCGCCCGACGACGAGGATTAGAAGGAGGAGGACCGGGGGGAGCGACGGGCTGCTCGGGCCTCGTGGCGTCCACTGGGCTGCAGCCAGCTTGCGCCCCCAGCTCGCGCGTGCGCTTTCGCATGCGCGCGCTCGTTCTTTGCGTGTACTGAGTCGCGTCCTGCGCGACGCGCGCGGCTAGCGCCTTTCGCGTGCGCGATTCCGCGCCGGCGGGCCGGCGACGCGCGGCCCTGGGGAGCGTTTAGCCCCCCCGCCTGGGCGAGGCCGTGGGGGCCGGCTCGGGCGTGCGTTGCACGCCGCCGGCAGGGCGCTGCCCAGCCGGGGCGGCCTGGCGCCCGCTCCAGGAAGGCCTCAGGCTTGCAGGCCAGTGGTCGCGCGCGCTCGGGCGCCTTTCGCCCGCGCGCGGCTGCGTTCTTTTGGTTTTGGCCGTGCGGCAGCAGGGCGTGCCAGAACGCGCGCGCGCCACTGTGCGCGTGCGCGGGCGGCGCGGCGTCCCGCCGGACCCGTGCCATCAGGGTGGTGCGCGTGGCCGCTTTGCCATTGAAAGTGTTCATCATTGTCCTTCTCCCGTCCTCGTCCTCCTTCCTCCTCCTCTTCCTCCTTCTCCGTTTAGTGCACGCGTGCCTTCGCTGAACTTGTATAGTCTGTTATGTTGGTAGACTGCAGGTTCAGCGTAGGGAAGTGGGGGCTTTGCCATAGCCATTTGGGGTCCGTAGTCGTGGGCTCGAGATCGAGCCAGGACTCGGGGGCCCACCCACCCCGCTTTGCTCCCTGTGCACCCAGCTCCGCTCGGCTCTCGGGCCGTGCGGCAGCAGGGCGTGCCAGAACGCGCGCGCGCCACTGTGCGCGTGCGCGGGCGGCGCGGCGTCCCGCCGGACCCGTGCCATCAGGGTGGTGCGCGTGGCCGCTTTGCCATTGAAAGTGTTCATCATTGTCCTTCTCCCGTCCTCGTCCTCCTTCCTCCTCCTCTTCCTCCTTCTCCGTTTAGTGCACGCGTGCCTTCGCTTAACTAGACATGTACCATGCACCATCAGCGGTTCATAGCAGCACTGCCCGTCGATCTGGTCCCAAAGTCTGAAAATCCACGCAGCAGCTGCGCAATCACCATCACGAAGTCCACCATCGGTTTAGATGATCACGTTGGCGTTCTGTATACACATCGTGGTGGTGAAACTCTTCTGCCATGTTCTCCGGGCGTCCATCGTGTAATTCGCCAGGCCGTCTGCTACTTTGTTATGGCATCTTCTCCACCATTGCACTGGGTCTTGATGAATTGTGCGGCGGTCTCCAACTATTGCCCATATGATCAACAATTCTGCTCAGCACCCGGGATACGAGAGGTTCGTAATCTAGGTCATGCAGCCTATTGATGCCACACACCACTTTTTGCAATGATTGCGAATCCGTTGCGTATAGAACATGTTTCTGCGGCCTTGCCCATGCGATGCGCATACCGACTGAATCAAGAAATTCATCTGGTTCCGGCTCCCCTCCTCGGAACACGAGCTTCTCCTCCGTCTCCTGGTCCACCCGGGAGCGTTTCAGGACAGGTTCGACGACGTCAGGCTCTTCGCAAACAGGCAAGTGCCAGCTGGAGCAAGCATCTGCAACGAAAGCATCTGTAAGCAAGCTCCACTCTGACTGTGTATGATTGCTTCGATGATGGCGCCAGTCTGAGCCCATGAACTGTACAATCGGATCCTCCTCCCATCCCCCTTCCATCCCTCCCATCGACACCTCCTCCTCCCTCCCATCCTTCCTCCTCCCTCCCCTCCATCCCCCCTCCCTTCCGAAATTTCCTCATCCCCCTCCTCCCTCCCTCTTTCCCTCCCTCCCTTTTTCCCTCCTGCCCTCTACCCCTCCCTCCCTCCTCCTTCTCCCCCTTTTCCTCAACCTGGTCCTCCCCTTCCTTCCCCCCAGCCTCGCGCTCCCCTTGCCGCACAACCGCGCCGCCCAACAAAAGGAGGGTGGTCAGGTTGGCGCGGGTGCCGACCCGGAGCATCAGGATGGGCCGGCCGCCGCTCGTCGAGCCAACGGTGGACATCTCGATCCAGTCGCCCTGATCGGAACAGGGAGGTCTTTCGCAGGGATGTAAGGGTCCTAAGTTGGGCCAGGGTGGGCGAGGTCTGAGGATCGCACCGCATTGGCTAAGCATCGGCGACGTCGGGCCGCGAAACATCGGACTCCACATGGCGCCGCATCGCTGATGCAAGGGCGATAAGGCGTCATCCTTCGACCCCACCTACGCTGGCCCCATTTGAGAGGCCTGATGGGGAACCCTCACTCGTCCAAAGCTGGGGCACTTCCCCGAAGGAAATTACCCAACCGACCGCGGAGAGCTCCGTCATTTTGTCATATGGTCAGGGCCCTCTGCCCCTGCAGGAAGGACAATCACATGCACATGATTGCCATGGTGGGACCCAAACAATGAATTGTTGCAGAATGAATGCGCGAGGCGCGTGGTGCAAACCATGTGGTACAACATATGTGTTGTGAGGTATGCGGTGCAAGGTATGCGGTGCAACCAACCTCTGTGGAGTAAAAAGTGTGGTGCAAGCTATGCGACGTAAGCTTTTGTGTTGTACGCTGACCACACACCCCACCTCAATGCGATAGGGCGCACGGTTTGTAGGCACCCGCGGGAACCCACCTAGGAACGTCTACTTAGACCAGTGCTAGCAGCAGCCATCCGCCACCGCTCCTTCGAGCGCCAGGCAACGCACAACGATCATGTTATTACCATGATAGTATAGCCCGAACCAGGCCTTTGCCCCGCTCACCGCCGCCGCTCTCCCAACGCTCGCCGGCCGCCATCCTCAGTCGAGCGGCTGACGCGTCGTCGGGCGAAGGCCTGCCAGGATGCTGGTCACCTTTTGCTTGCGCTTCCTCTCGGTGGCCGTCGGTTCCGTTGGCCGTACATGGCGGGCCCGTCCGAGCCCGCCCGTCTCCCTCCTGCCGTAGGCGCCGCAGGTCACGTAGAGGATGCACCCGTGGGCTTGCCTCGCTGAGTGGAGCTTGTCCACGGCGCGGTCGGCGCCCGCCAGCGTGGCTGCGCGCGCTGGCGCCCTCTGCCCGCCGCTGCCAGCGGTCGCCCCCGCGCTGCTCTCCTCGTCGTCCGCCAGGGGGGGGGCCTCCTGGCACCGCGTCGTTGGGGACACCTGGATGAGGTCGCCCTCCAGCTCGCCACGCGCAGGGGACACCTGGAAGGGGTCGTCCTCTCGCTGCCCCGCCCCTCGGGCCACCCAGCTGGCGCTGGCTTGCGACCCGCGCCCGCCTCCTCGCCTCGACCTTTCAGCTGCCTGGCGCGGGCCCGCCTGGGCGCCCCAGCCCCGCTGGCGCAACGAAGCGTCGCCGCTGGCCTCTTGCGCCCCTGCCTCTCCTGCCTTCGGCCCTGCGACTGCGCTACCGGGGCGGCCTTCGTTTTTTCGTCTCGCCCATCGGCCAGTGCGCTGGCCGACACTGCGGCTGCGGCCGCGAGCCAGCCGCGGGCCCCGCGAGCGCGCTGGCTGGGCTGACGTCAGGGGGGCCCCGCTGATGTGGGTGTTGGCCTCGGCCCGTGGGGCTCTCACTAGACGACGTCGCGCTGCTTAGCCCAGGACCCGCCCGCGCTGACGGCTCGCCAATTTCCTGGCCAGGGCCTCGCTTCCCCCCCGGCTGCTGGCTGAGCCTCGCTTGAGTTGGCGCAGAACGAGGCGCGCCCGCCCTCGCGGATGTCCTCCACGACGCCCGCCCAAGGCACTTCGGCCTGCTGCGCCTCCTCTAGTTGGCCCGCTGACCAGGCGCAGCCTTCCTGCCACCTAGGGAGCCTGGGCCCGTTCCTGGCCAGGGCCTCCATCGTCGCCATCTCGCGCATCGTCGCGCCATCTGGCCAGCTGCTCTCATCCAGGCCGCCCGCGAAGAGCCTTGCGACCCTCTCCCGCGCCTGCATGTTTTCGAGCGCCCTCCTGTTGCCTGCTCCGTCCAACTGCTGCAAACGGCTCCCCCTGTCTATCCGCTTGTGGGCCCCCGCTCCCCATGCCGCCTGGCATTCTTCGGCCGCCCCTCGCCTCCGCCCTCTGTCGGCTGCCTCGCCCTTTAGCCCTTCGAAATGCGCCGCGCACTCCTTCGCTTTCAACATCTCAACCACGTGCCTCTCGCGTTCTTTCTGCTTGCCACGTGCCCTCCGCGCCCAGGAGGTACCGAGCTGCCATCTGCCGCGACCTCTGGCGAATCGGCTAGAACTCGCGGTCTGCCCCCGCAAAGGAGGGGCGCGCGGCGCGCCGACGCGCCTTGTTTTCGCTCGCGCGTGGAGCGTCGCCCCCTGACGGCCCCCCACCGACGATGGCGCTTCCTCGTCACTCACGCCACGCTCTGGGGGAGGAGTCCTCGCGTCGCCTCCCGGGGACGCCGGCAGCCCCATTTCCCGCTGCCTCTGCGGGCCGCCCCCAGCGCGCGCGTCGGCTGGTCGCCCGACCAGGCACCGCGGCGGGGGGGCCTCGACATGCTGGCGTGGCCTGGGCCCAGGGGTTCGTAATGGAGCAGGCTGGCCGCTGCCCTCGTAGTCTGGCGGCCGCCCGCCCCCAGCCCAGCGGGCCGCGCTTCGCTTGCCATCTGGGTGGGCAATCCTGCCCTCGAGCTCTTTCTTGTCGCGGGTCTCCCTCGCGACGGCGACCTCCGCGCTGCCCCTGCCCCCAGCCCAGCGAAACGCGCTTCGCTGGCCATCCGGGCCGGCGGCCTCGCGCGGGGCCCCGTCCCCGACCTGGGGCCCCGCCCCCGCTCAGGGGCGCGCGCTGGGCGAGGCCCTCCGCTCAGCGCGTGCCCCCAGCCCAGGGGAATGCGCATCGCTGGCAATACGGGTGGGCATGCCGTCAAAACGCGCGGCGACCGAAGCCGAGGCCGCGCCCCCAAGGACTGGCTCGGGATTTTTCGCCCTAACAAAACCCGTGGCGACGGTGCCCGAGCAAGCGTTTTCGCGAACTGGCTCGGGACGTTGCGTCCTAACGCCTGCGTCCGTCGCGCAGACTTCTCCGCCTCCGTCGTCGTTGCTCGGCGCGCAGCCCAGCTCGCGGCCGCCGGCGGGGCCGCGGTCGCCCCCGACATCTGCCCGCTGCCCGAGGGCGCCGCTGCCCTTGTCCATGGCCGCCTCCAAGATGTGCGCCACCTTCTCGTCTGACGCGCGGTGCCCTTGCCCGTCGTCCATAGGCCACCTGCGTCCTCGCCCCCCAAGGCCGCGCTGCCCTGGCCGCCCTTGTTCAGCCTCCTGCCCACCACTGAGATGCAGCCGTCGTCGCACTGGCTGCCCAGATGCTTCCGCGGCTTCGGGTGGCACGGGCTCCGGCCCAAGGGCTTCCTGGAGCTGGCAGCGACGGCCCGCCGCCCGCGCCGCCGAGACCTCGCGCCACCTTTCCCATTTTCCCCCGGGTCGTGCTCCACCAGGACCACAAGGCGGGCTCGCCTGCACGCCGACTCCGCTGCTCAGGTTGTTCCGCTGTGGCATCCCAGACCGCAGTCTGCTCGCGCCACCAGCCGATGTTGTGCAGCGCCCAAGCCACTTTCTCCCCTGCCGCCTGCATCGCCTGCTCGCGCCCGAAGGCCGCGTCGCCCTCGGCCGCCAGCTTGGCCAATGCGCCCGCCGCCCTGTTGCCGCGGGCTGCTCGTCGGCGCACCGCCCCCAAGGCGTCGACGGCTGCTTGGCTGCGGCGCGCCTTGCCATTCGAGACGCTCTCCGGCGGCGCGCCCATGTCGCCCCTCGCGAAGCAAATCGCGCGCCAGACGTCAGCGCGCGCCCGCTTCCCGCAGCGGCGCCAGCACTCCCTCCGCCCGAGGCCCGTCGCGATGGCCAGGTGGTCTGTGTAAAACTTGAGCGGCCCCCCCCGCCCATCGCCTGCGTCTTGGCGCGCCGCGTGGCATTCAAGAAAGCCCGCGGCCCCGCCCGCTCGATGGTCCTCAGCGCGTGCGTTTCCACTGGCAACGGCCCCCGCGCCATGGCGAGGCCGCCGCCGTCTGGCCGCGCCGAGAGCGCGGCCCATCCCGTCTGCGCCCACAGCGACCGCCCGAGCTTGGAGCCGTCGCGCGCGACCAAGCCCTCGAACTCAGCTTCGGCCCATTCTCTGCGCTCCTCCTTCGCTACAGTGCCCGCCCAATCGATCCCGTCAGCACTGCCGGCGGGCTCCGCCCTCAGCCTCGCGGCGCCCTGCCGCGGCCGCCCCGCTGGCCGCTGGTTGGGCAGTTCCTCCTCCGACTCGTCGAGCCCGCCCCCGAGGCTGAACGGGTCATCCTTCTCGGCTTCGCTGCCGCTCCCGTGCTGGCTGGAGCCCTGATGCCTCCTCAGCCGCCTGCCCATGGCGGCCCTCCTGTCCCGCGCTCGCGTCTCGTCTTGTGGGGCCTGGCTCTCCTTCCGGCTCCGCTCGCCACTGGGCGTGCTCGCCGATGGCTTGGAAAGCCCAGTCGCTGGCAGGGTGTCGGATGAGGCCTCGTCTACACCAGGTTTCCAGGCTCCGCCCCCGCCATGCGCCGCCGCCCTCTGGGCGCCGGCATCCTGCGCGCCGCGGCCGCCGCACGCCTGTAGTAGCGGCGGTGGGGGGTCCCGCGCGTCGCCCCGCAGGCCTGGCAGACGCCCGGCTCCGCCTGGCCGATCTTGCGCAGTTCAATCTGCGTCCATGAGCCATGGCGCGCCGTCTGCCTCCCCGCGTTGGCCGCGCGCGCCCCCCGCGCGCCGGCGGGCCGCTTGCGCGGCAAGGTCGCAGCTGGAGACATCGGCGGCCTGGGGGCCACTTGCGCCATGTCCTGCTCCTGCGCGCGAGCCGCCCACAGCTCGCGCTCGAGGCCCCCCTTCATCTGCGCCTTGGCGTCCGCCGGGCAGATCATCCCGAGGCGCAAGAGCGAGCCTTCCCGCGGGCAGAAGGTGCCCTACGCAGGCAAGGTCCATCCCGCTCTGCGCAGCGACATGACACAGGCGCCCGCCGGCCCTCGCACTGCCGATCTGCCGTCTCCAATTGCGACATCGCGCCGCTGCCCCCGCCAGGCCTGCCCCATGACTTTGGCGACGAAAGGCCGCCCCCAAATCGCCGCGGCCCACGCCGCGATCGGGGCCGCCGTCGCGTCGTAGATTGGGTCGCCCCCTCGCCCTTCGGTTGCCAGCAAATGGGCGAGGGACCCACCCCCGCCATGCTGCGCATGGGCATGGCCCTTGCTGCTGACCGCCTCAGGCCCAGCAGGCGCGCGTCATTCAGCCCCAAGCACTTGGCGCCGTGCGCGCGCACAATGCATCTTGAGCCCTACCTTGGACACCGACGCCACCTCTCGCCGCGCGCCTGCCCTGCCCGCGCTGGCCGATGAGCCTCTTGGCGCAAGTCCGCAGGCCGCGCATCCGCTGCTGGCGCTTGCCCTTCTCCTTCCTCCTGCCCATCGGCATGCCGACTCCAAGGTGGACTCCCGCGGCCTGCGCCTCGACCCCCCGCTTGGCCATGACTGGCATGAGGGCCTTGCGCAGCCGCGTGGCGCCGGCTAGCTGGTAGCCCTTTCCGCCCTCGCCGAGGGAAGAAGGCCATGTCAATTTGGGCGAACTGGGGCATGGCTGCAGCTGTGATCTCTGGCGCCTCGTCCACTAGATGCTCTTGCACGCCTCGCCGTTGCGCGCGCAAGTCGTCCATCTACAGCTCCCAGTCGACCCGCGGGTACCTAACCGCTTGCACGTCCACCCCGCCCATGAGCAACGTGCGCAGCAGCGCGACAGAGTACTTGCTGCCGACTGCTATGACCGTCTGCGCGATCACCTCGCCCGCGCATCAACCGCCCGCGACCAGGGCCCTGGCCATCGCATCGCGAACACCAACATGGCCAACGCAAGAATGGGGGGAAGGAGACCCCAGCGCAAGCCCGCCTCCCATAGCTCTACAAGCGGCACCCTTTCAAAAACCTCGACCAAATCCATGGCGGCCGTGTCCGCCGCGCCCAGGTCGGGGTCGTCCGCGTCGGGGCCCGCCGCCTCGTGCGCCGCCTGCACTTCCCGCGCCGCCGACTCTGGGCCTCTGCCGCGCATGGCGCGGCCCCGCAGGCAAAGGCGGTCGCGGCGCCATTGCTGCTGGCAGGGGGGTGGGGGTGGGGGGGGGGGCTGGTCCACTCCCGCACTCGCGCCAAGGTAGAGGAGAGACCGATCGCGCGGCCTTTTGTGGGGGACTCGGGAACGCGCGAGGAACGCCCCGACGCGGTCCGCGGGCCGCGGCCAGACAAACGCGCGCTACGCCGTCCAGCATGGAAAGGTGCCAGCCGTCCACGCCGCTGCCCGCGCGCCCCTTGAAGCGCTCCGCGAGGTCGCGGAGGGCCTGGGTGTCCACCTGCGGAAGCGGCTTTTTTGTTTGTGGTTCTCTCTCTCTCTCTCTCTCTCTCTCTCTCTCTCTCTCTCTCTCTCTCTCTCTCTCTCTCGCTCTCGCTCTCTCAGCCGCGAGCCACGGCCGCTCTTCCTGCTGCGCTGGCTGCCCCGCCTGCCACGCCTGTGCCCATCCTCGCAGGGCTGCCGCTGCCGCCGCCTCAGGGGCGGCCGCTTCCTCGGGCGTGGCTGTCCTGCGCTGCTGCCGAAGTGCCGCTGGCTTGCTGAACGTGTGGAGGGGGCCAGCCGCGCCTTCCGCCGCCTTGGCCAACTTGTCCCTCCTCGCTGCCATCTCCTCCTCCTGCGCGCGGGCATCGGCCTCGGCAGCCCACCGCTCGAGCAGCTGCTCTGGCGGACCAGCGTCGGGGGGGAACGCAGCCCCGTCGCCGTCGGCGACGGGCGCGCGCGTGGGAAGTGGGTCGTCGGCCACAGGAGCAAGATAACTAACTCTTGCCATTGACCTCAGCATCAACTACCTGCGGCAGGCGGGCGCTTCCGTAGGCAGTCGGTCCAGGCGACGATATGCGAAAGAAGTTCTCCTCCGACGAGATCGATACCAAGTCCTGCTTGCCGTCCGAGAGGTCGATGGCGACGTCGAATTGACCAGCGATCGATAGCGGCATCTGCTCGCCGCGCTCATGCCAGCCGGGCGCCTCGTCGTCATTGGCCTTCGGGGCGCCCGGGCGATGCTCATCGCCGTGGGATCTTTTCCAACTGATATTTGGACGAGGGCGTTGACTTTGATCCCCGACATAGTCGGAGGAAGCAGCCCCAGGACCGTTCATACTTAAGCCGTGGCGTTGGTTTTGTTTCTTTCGTACATCATCCATCGGGAAAAACAAGAACACAGCTTTCCCGTCCAATGACGTCGCTTTCGGCGATTATGGAACTTCCGGTTGATAGCCAATGTTTTCCCCGTGTTCCGTCACGAGGTGAGCTTTCGCAACCCGATTGAACGGCAAATCGTGTTCGTGCTCTTCATGGTGATCTTCTTCCTGTAACAATTTCGTGCCCGGTTCCAAACGACTTATTGGGGATATACTTCTCCCCGCCACTGGGTAAATTATGAAGCTGCGCCGTGAAATTGTGACTAAGATCGGTCAGGAAAGACGATCCGGCCAGCCGGGCGCGCGCGCGGCGGGTGGGGCTGTCCTTTTTCCTGCGGCGAAAATCAAGACAGCTTCGGTAAATCAGCGATGTCCTGCGGCGGCGGGACAACGATGCTGAGGCAACGCAGGGGTGTGATCAAATCAACTCGACGTTTAATGCAAGCCATGTTGTGCGACGTATACGGCGAACCACGGGGCGCCCAAAAGGCGCCCATGGACTGTCACGGGCTGGCGCCAGGCAAAATCCCAGCGGACCCACCCAGCAGCGCACGGGCCGCTCACGATGCACCAACGAGCGGCCACGGGCGGGCAACAAGCGATTTCCTGGCGGACCTAGCAAGCGAACGCGGCGCCCACGAGGCGCCCACGACTGGCCACCAATTGAGCACCAGGCGAAAACCTGGCAGACCCACACACCGCCTGTGGGCGCCCACGCGGCGCCCACAGGCGGCCACCCGGAAGATCCACCCAACGAACGGGCGCCCACGAGGCGCCCACCACCGGCCACCAACCAGGCACAAGGCCAAACCTCGGCATACCCATCCGATCTCAACCTCTGAACGAAAGCATTTTTTGGGGGATCAGCGTCCGAAAGTCCGCGCGGGCCTCCGACTGCGTCTGTTTATGTAATGTGTCTTCTTCGTATTATGTGTTATTATTCTTGTTATTATTATGAGCATTTTCATTATTATTGTGTCTGTATTATTACAGTTTTTCATTATTAGTGCTATTCGTATTCATCATTTTATTCCCCAAGTCCCCTGAGTTCGGGGCCTGGGGAATGAAAATTGGTCGGGCGCTCTTGGCTTTCTCTTGGGCCACCGGCAGCCTCTGAACGTTTCTCCTCCTCCCCTTCTCCTCATACCCTTCGCCTCGTGCTTCTTCTCTTGCTGCTTCTCCTTCGTGCTTCCCTCTTTCCCTCATGCCAGTGCTCCTGCTCCCTCTACTCCTCCCCCTCCTCTCTCCCTCCTCTGCCCCTCCCTGATGGTCTGCCTTAGCCTTCCCCATCCCCCCTCCCCCCTCCCCCTGCTCCTCCTCCTCCTCTGCCCCTTCCTTCTCCTCCTCCTGCTCCACCCTCTCTCCTCCCAACCCCTCATCATCGTTCTCCTCGTTCCTCTCCGACGCCCTCCCTCCTTAGCCATGTGGCTCAAGGCCAATCACGTATGTAGAGGCCTGGCTCCTCCTGTGCTATCAGGGATACCTCTGATATGCGGGCAGCGGTCGACCACATTCCAGTGAACTCCTGCAGGGACGCAGAACAACACAAGCCTTGTTCAGCTGGCCCTGGCTGTCACGAAATTAATGTTCTGGCGACTGCCCATCAGATCACATACCCATCTGGCCCTGGCTGCCGCGATTTCCTTGGGACCGCCCATAATTTCCCCCGCAGAGCTTGCACCGCAGAGGTTGTGCCATACCTGCGACACAAGGGCTTGCCATCGCGACTGAAATAGCACACTCTTTGGGATCCACGCTGGCAATCAACGGTGAATTTAAAGGAAGATAACCCCTGGCAGGACTGACAACAAGAAACAATATGCTCATTGGTGCAATGCCTGTCCACGGGGCGGGTCCTCCTGACTGGCTTATACCTGTGAGAACTTCCCCATCCCCCATCTCCACCACCCCCATCCTCGCCCATACGTCTTCTATATTGAGTTGTATGTCCTTTCTGCTGGTTTTCTCCCCAGTTCATCCCGTTGCCCCCCCTCCTCCTCGTCATCCGTCCCCAGACGTCTGACGGTCTTTGAAGACGCATGCTTACAGCCAGCGCCCGCAATGTACTGGAAAACGAGCTCCGTCCTGAAGTACATATGGTGTCGTGTGCGTGATTTGTCTGGCTTCACTGGTATGATGTGCATAGCGGCAAGAGCTCCACACGACCAACGGGAACTGGCACTGGCTTGCCAGATTCGCCAGCTGGCCCGCTGGCCCCGCAGGCCACTAATTATGGGAGCTATGTGGCCTTCAAATGTTCCTGCATGTAGCTGTGCCGCCTGCAATCCATGGCCACCTCCTTGACTCATCAACTCAGCACAACAGGACCGAACCTGATAGAGTAAGTCTCTCGACCATGCTCCAGGCTGGAACGTCCGGATAACAGAGCAAAACTGGACGACCACGTCCTGACTGCAAGCTAGAAGCGGAGGGATAACAAACACGTTTGATCATATGAATTCAATGCCAATTTTGGAGACTGAATACAATGGGCAAATGTGAGTTGCTATTCCTGGCTCAAGCTCAAGCCGAGCCGTAATTAGCCATTTTGGCTCAAGCCATTTTGGCTCAAGCCGAGCCCCAAGCTCAAAGGCGAGCCAGCTCGATCCGTGAGGATCCCGGGCCCCGCGCGTAGGGTAATCCGCGCGCGCGGCCGCTACCGATGCCGGGCGGCCGTGGCGGCGGGCGTGGGGGCAACGCCCAGCCGCCATGGGGCGCCATCCAGAGGCAGCTGAAGCAGCTGGCGGAGGCGTGCAAGCAGGCGGGTCGCCCTGCTGGGGCGGCGCGCTATCCGCGCTCGCAAGAGCGGCAGCCGCCTGCGCAGCGCGATGGCGCAGCATGCGAGCCCAGGGGGGCCCGCAAGTTGACCTGGAGCTGCGCATGCGGGACGGCCGACAACTTCGGCTGGCGTACCACCTGCCACGGATGCAGCCAGCAGGCGCCGCGGACGGAGCCCTCGGTGCGGGTGCGCCCGTGCACGGCTCCGGCGGGGCCGCCGACGCTGGCGCCCTGGGCAGGGCTCCTGGCCGGAGCCGGCGCGCGCCCTGCGACCGCGGAGACGGCGGGGCCGCCGCCGCAGCCTCCGGCCCCCCAGGCAGCCGCGGCCGAGGCCACTCCGCCGCTGCCAGCGGCGGCCGCCGCCGCACCGGGGGACCTTGCGGGCATCAAGGCTCACATCGCCGCTCTCCGCCCCTTTCCCGAGTGGGCGCAGGAGGCGGCGCGGCTCGAGGCCGCGGCGGCCGGGCTGCAGGAGGCGGAGCGCGCCGCCCGCCCTCTCGAGCGCCGCCTGCAGTCCGCCCTGGACTCGCGGCGGAACCGCGCCGAAGCGGCGCGGCGCGCTCAGGAGGCCGCGGCGGCGGCTCGGACCGCGGCCGAGGAGGCTCAGCGTGCCGCCGAGGCGGCGGACACCCGCGCTGCCCACCCCATCGCCGAGGCGCAGGCCGCGGAGCAGGCGCTGGCGGAGGTGACAGCAGCAGGCGCGGCGGCGCGCCTGGCCGCCGCCGCCGCAGGCGTCGCGGCACTCGATGGCGCCTTCGCGGCCGTCGCCGCCGCCGCCGCACAGAAGGGGGCAGACGGTCTTGTGGTGCTGCTGGCCTCGGGGCCCGTGGGCCCTGCAGCTGACGGCGGTGCGGCGGAGGGCCTGGGCGCCGCCGTCGACTCCGCGATGCCCGAAGCCGGTTGCGCAGCCGCGGGGGCGGCAACGGGCGGCGCTCCTGCCGCTGCCGCCGCAGCTCCGGGCGCTGCGCCGCCAGGGAGCCCGGGTGCCGAAGCCGCCGCTGCACCTGGCGCCGTGCCGCCCGGCTGCGGACCCGGCGGCGCTGCCCGCCGTGGAGCCACGCCCAGATCGTGGCGCCAGGTGGCTTCCGCACACCACGCTGCGCAGGCCAGGCGGCAGGTCACGCTCAGGCACTGCCTGGGTCGCCCGCGCGCCTCCTCCAGTCCGTCCTCCCCAGGCCAGCGGGGACGCTCGCGGAGCGCCGAGCGGCGGGCGGCGGGCGGCGCGTGAGGTGTGACGGGCGGCTCGCGCTGGCTGATGGCGGGCGGCCCGCTGTAGCTGCCGAGGCGGGCGCCCGGACCAGGCGGCTTGCGCTGGCCACACCGGCAGATGGCGCTGCCAGGCGGCTCGCGCCAGCGGTGGCGACGAGGGCCCCCGAAGGCGCCTTGCCCTGGTCCAAGATTTCTGGAACCCCAGGCCCTCGCCGCCACGGTATGACGCAGCTCAAAAAACTTATGCGTCTGGCCCGTGTGCTGTGTGACGGGCGGCCCGCGCCGGCTGAGCGGTGGAGCGGATGGCCGTGCGTGGCGAGGTGTCCGCGCGGGCGAGGCCTCGCACCCAGGGCCGGCCTTCCCCGACGTGTTCAGTGGGAGTGGCCAATTTGACGCGATGGAGTGCGAGCTGGTGGGGGTTGCTGGCGCGGCTGCCGCCGATGCATGGTGCGTGCAGGAGGCCCGCATCCCGGCTCGGCAGGCGTCGTCCACCTCAGCGGATGCGTGGGCGCGCGGCCTGCGGCTCCAGGTGGAGCCCGAGTACGGCGCTGAGCACTTGCTGGCGGTTGCTCACCGGCCAGGCCTTTGCGGGGTCCGAGCGGCGCCGCCCCTGGGCGTGTCGGGCAGGCACCCTGGGCACCTCCAGCACATGGTGCTCCACTTCGGACAGGCCCGCGCCGTTCACTTCATGAACTGCTACGGCTCGGGCGGAAGGTGCGATGAGGAGCGCAACGCCGACCTGATCCTCGAAGGTCTGCAGTGGTTGCGTGGCCTCGGCGCGGTACCAGCCTTCCTCGTGGGGGATCTGAACTGCAACCTCGAGGCCGTGGGCCTCGCGGGGGTGATGGCCATGGCTGGATGGCGTGACCTGCTGGCCGCTGCAAGGCCCACCTGCATGCCTACCCACGGCACCCCCTCCCGCCTCGACTGCATCGTGGCCAACGCTGAGGCAATGGGCATGGTCGAACGAATCAGTAACCGATGGGACCTCGGGCTGGCCATGCACGCGGCGCTGCTGGTGACCTTCCGGGCCAGCCCGCTCGAGCAGGCGTGGATCCGGGAGCCGGTCCCAGCCCTCGATGGCGTTGCCGCCGAGCTGGAGTCCAGCAGTTGCACGAAGTGTCACGGCGGCGGTGGTGGCACAGTACGAGGCGCCGTACCGCGAGGCACTCAGGGTGCAGGACTTGGGTGCGGCGTGGGCCGTGCTCAGCACGACGATGCGGACGTGGCTGGCGGCGCGCCAGGGGCGGCTCACGGTGCCCGAACGGCCGCAGGCGGCTGCTGTGCTGCGCGCGGAGCGGGCTCCGGCGACCAGAGGCGGCGGCGAGGCGGCAGATGCTGCCGCAGACGCGGCATTGCTGAGGCTACGGCGCCTGCGCGGGCTGCGCCACGCGTCGGCCCGCGGCAGCGTCGCATCGCGGGGCGTGGCAATGGGGGCGCTCGCGGCGCTGCGGGCCGCGGACGCGGGCGATGCCTTCTGGGAGCCACAGTTGGCGGCGGTGCAGCTGGGCGCCGAGCTCCCGGAAGCCCTGGTGCAGCTCGCGGGGGCTGACTGGGCGACCGCACGCGCAGCGGCGCGCCAGCGCAGGCAGAATGAGTGGCACCGGTGGGTCAGTGAATCCTTGGCGAACGCGCAGGGCCGCCTCTACAGGTGGATCCGCGGCGGTGGCACGCTGGGCGCGGAGCTCGTGCCGGATCCCGCGACCCAGGCAGCGGCGCCGCACTCCGCGCCCGGGCGGCGAGCTTGGCTGCTGGCTCTGTGCGGCGGGCCTGCCACCAAGCTACGGTTCTTAGAAGGGCCTTGAAGGCAGCTTTGGCAGCGGCAGGTGGTCCCTCCCCTGGGCGAAGGCTGGCTGCAGGAACTGGATGGCCTGCCGCCGTTTCCGCCCCAGGCAGCCGTGGACAGCGGATGACATCAGCTGGCTGCTCCGCCAATGCCGGCCTAAGCGGAAAAAGCCCGGCCTCGACGGCTGGACGGTGGCAGAATTGCGCCTCCTGCCTGAGAAGTTTTTGGGTTGGATGGCGGAATTCTTCGAGGCGGTGGAGGCCGTCGGCGAGTGGCCAAGCGAATTGGCGGAGCCAGATGGGGCTCCTTTTGCCGAAGCCTGGCGGGGGGAGGGGTCCCCTGGACAGGCGACCCATCTGGCTGCTGCCGATCTTGCATCGCCTGTGGGCAGCGGGGCGGGCCCGCGACTTCGCACGCTGGCGGCTGAGCTGGGCCGGGGCGGATGTCCAGCTGGGAGCTACGGCTGCTGGGATGTACGGCGCAACGTGCGGCCGCCCGCCAGAGGGCGAGCTGCGGGGGCTCCGCGCGGCTGCCCGGCACGCGGTATGCCGTCGCGGCGGCTTCTGGGCGGCCGCGGAGGTCGTCCTCGGAGTGCTCAGTCCCAGCTGGCACCTCGACCCGGCCGCCGTGGCAACGATAGCCCCGCTCTGGCCCATCGCGAAGGCGATCTGGCGCGGCCGCTTCCCAGCGCAGCTGTGGCGCAGCGCGGCGGCCGGCGCCATCGCGGCGGGGCACGGGCGACAGAACGGGCCGATTTCGGCGGCAGTGCGCAGCCCGAAAGCTGGACGGGCGTCCCAGCCGCGCCAGCGGGGTGGCGCCCCGCGGAGCACTCGCTGCAGGACACCCGCGGCGTGTTCCTGGCGGCCTGGGCCCGCCGCGAAGCAGCTGCAGTTGCCGCCCGCCGCGGCGACATGGAGCACCTCGCCGGCGGAGTGGACCGCTGGGCCACGCGCAGGCTTCTCGAGGACGGGCAGCTCGCGCCAGACCTGGCAGGCGCGCTGCGCACGGTGCTCGCCGGCGGCGTCGTCACGCAAACGGTGGCAGCAAAGTGGGGCAAACCAGCGCTGTGCCCTCACTGCCGGACGGCCGACGACCCAGATCACCATTTCTGGCGGTGTCCGCGCTGGCAGGAGGCGAGGGCGGCTGCCCTGCGCGGCAGCGGGTTTCGCCCGGAGGGCCTCCGCGCGGCCCTGCAGCCCGGAAACGATTGCAATGGTGTCCTTCCTGAGGATCTGGTCCTCCGCGCGCTGGCCGACGGTGCCCGCGCGCCCATCCAGCCCCCTTGCCCGCTGGTCAGCACGACCCGCAGCTGCGCCCGCCGCGGCGGCGCGCCTGGACAGACGGCGCCTGCGAGAGGCCGACGGACCCGCTCCTGGCCAGCGCAGTTTGGGGGGTACGGCTCGACGGCTCGAACGGAGCGCAAGACAGCAGCGGGCCGGTCGACGGGCTCCAGACGGCGCAGAGGGCGGAGCTGACGGCCGCCATGTATGCGCTGAGCCTCGCTGCGGGCCCCGTGGAAGTGATCACCGATTCCCGGTATGTCCGCAACGGGATGGCGGCACTCCGGGCGGGGGCGTCCCCGGCGGAGTGGGCGCACGCCGAGATGTGGGAGATGCTGGCCCCCCACTGCCAGGACGGGACCCTCGTCGCGCGCGGTGGATCAAAAGGCACCTCGACGCGGCCGTCGCCCGGGCTCGCGGCATGGCCGACGACGACCGCTTTGGCAACGCGGCTGCTGACCGGCTCGCGGGCGCTGCCGCGCGCTCCCGCAGCCCGCTCTGGTCACAGGGCGGGACAACCGCTTGCGCGCTTCGGGCATCGCGCAGCGGATGCTGGCCGAGGTGGAGCTAGCCGCCCTGAAGGCGCCGGCGTGGCCCCGCGGGCCCGCAGACCGCCGCGGCCGGCGGGGCGCGCTCGGGGCGCAGCCGGGCGCGCCGCCGCAGGGCCCACCGCTCGCGGCCGCCGCGCCGCGGTGCTGGCGCCGCCAAGCAACGCGCGGCGGCGGCGGCCACGGGGCCCGGTGCGCCGCCTTGTTCGCCCGGCGGGCTTGGCTGCCGCACGCTGCTGCGCAGGGCCCCGGATGGGTGGCCTGCGTGCGTTGCGGGGCGTCTGCGCCCGCGGGGGGCGCTGCAGGCGCGCTTGGCGCAGCGCCCGGGGCCGCCAGACTAATTCGTTTTGGGCAGCCCGCGCGCGGGCCGCGTGCACCCCGCTTTCCCGCGCCCCTCCTCCCTCCCCCCGCCCCTGCCTCTCTCTGCCGCTGGGCCTGTTCGCTGGGTAAAAAGTGAGTTGCTCCTCCTGCATGTGCAGCAGCGGAGGGCGGACAGAGGATTCAATAGCAGGAGGGGCATAAAGGAAAGACGATGAAGAAAGCAACAAGTGCCGCCTCCGATGGACGCAACCTCCGCAAGTCCGCCAACAAGTCCCCGAGCAGGTACGGGTAAAAGTAGGCAATCCGAGTGCGGCCTTTACTACGCACGCCCGGAATGGGGACGAAAGTAATTGTGAAGGTGCCTAGCTGTGAGTGTTGCCTATAAAAAAAAACAGCGGCCGCTGTCGGGCAGGTGACGCTGGCCCTGTCCGACACACCGACAGCGAGTCCTGCTTAATACTGGCAGGAACTGCAATTGGTCCTCGTCGTATTCCTTTTGTCCCCATTGAGATCGCAATGATTTAACAATTCCCCTGGGACCAGCTGTTCACCACGAGACGTTTTTTGACAGCCCCATGGCCAGAAGAGAGCCCCGTGAGCCCGAGCACTGTCGAAAGCCTGCAAGACACCTTGAAAAATCTACCCCCCGTGCCTCGCTGTGGATGCGTTCTGGCCATCGGGGATTCAGCCATGGCGACAAGACGCTCCAGTGGACGCAACATATGGAGAAACTCGAACACATCTCGAAGTGCGGAAAACTGGCAGTTGCGGCAGCAGCAGCGGCACCTGTCGGCGACAAGTGCCGCTGCCCAGACCTCATGCGACGCAGGGTTTTCTCAAGATCTGTAGGGCTCCAACCCGTTGCCCCCCACCCTTGTGGGGGGAGGCTCTCCGCGCGCGGAGGCACCGCTGGTCGTCCTCCTTCGCCTCTGTCTACTCCGTTTTGCGCGAGGCCGACCCGCAGGCGCCCTTTCTTCCCAACACCTCCTCGTCTTCTGATTCCCTCTGTTTCTCCCTTTCATGTTCATGCTCCTCCTGCTCTGGGGCATCCAGGCCCGCCAGGAGCTCCGGGGCCTCTGGGCACCCCCCTCGCCCCGCCCGGTCGGGGAGGAAGAAGAGGAGGTCGAAGAATATCAACTCAACGACGTCTGCTTGCCCAGACGCGCCCGATACACGTGCGACTTCCAATGGACTCGCCTGATCGGGAACCCTCACCCCGATGACAAGGAGTTGCCGCTTAGCGTGCCGTGCGGCGCGCGCCGTTGGCGCCGAAGACCGCATGACATCCCAACTTGCAGGCCTGGACGGTACGATCATGCGGGCGCGCGCGTCCAGACCCCAGGACGCAAGCCAGAGAGAGAGAGTGAGCCGCGTGCCGGCGAAGTGTCAGAATTGTGCCTAAGTGCGCAAGATCTTACGGCGCGCCAAGACGTGCATAATAGTCCTTTGAGCATGATGCGACGCATGTGCGCAATCCCAGCAGCGGCGAAATCCGCTTGTCTCACGCGCCCGGATCGCCACGACACAATTCGCAAGGAAACCGAACCCGAAGCAGGGATAGCCGGTCTGCTACGTGCACTGCTTGCCCTGATTCTCGCCCCACTCCAATTTCGCACAACATCTCGACACTGGCCACAGGCCCGAGAAACGAGATCTCTCACATGGTCCTCGAGGGTCCGGTCCGCCTCCGAAGATCCGCCTCCGCAAGCCGTGAGCTGCTGGGGAAACGAAGTCGCGCAGCGGCGCCTGGCTGCAGCTGCAGCGAGAAAGAGAGCGAATAGTGGCGCTGGCGACCCCCGATCACGTACCGGTTCGGGCAGTAGGCGTAGTCGTGGCCGGCCCTGCTCCACCTCGGCGCCCCGGCCGCCAGGGCGACGACCCTGCGGCCCTGGCTGAAGGTCGAGGCGTCGCCCCGGAACGACACCACGTGCAGGCGCAGCTCCCTCGGCGCTTCGACCTCGACGTCGAAGCAGAACCAGGAGCAGTGCTTCGCGCGGCTCGTGTCGCAGCAGTGCAGCAGCTCGAACGCGCCGTCGCCCTGCAGCCGCGCGCGCCGCAGGTTGGCGCCCTCGAAGTCCGCCTGGAAGCACACGCCTCCGAGCCCCGCGCCTGGGAATGCCACTGGCCAGTCGTCAGCGGAGGAAGCGTCCACGAGCAGGTGCCTCTGCGACCAGCCACGGCTGGGGGGAGCCGAGCTCCTTACCCCCCCTTCCCTGGGGAAACCCACCGTGTCGACGATCTGTCGAGATGGCGTGTGATGCCGATGGGCGCCCGGGGGGTGTATAGCAGGTTCTTGATTCTGACACCGCGTGGTGAGTTTCTGATACCACGTGGATCGATCAACCTTGAGCGATCGCGGCCTTCCGATGACGCATGTCGTTTGATGTCTGCCGACTCCGAGCGGCGCTGAACCTTGAACGCCCGCGCTGCGGCCCCGCCGCGCTGACACGGCACGAACCTGCCGCAAGGACCGCACCTCCCCCCAGATTTGGCGGCGCGCACAACGACATGGCGCGGGGGGGCGGCCTTCTAAGAAAGTGCGCGGGGCGCTTTCAGGAAGGCAGGTGCCGTCTTAGAAGCCCTACCGTTCCCCCTGAAGCCCCTGTCCAGAGAAACAAACCCTCCCGCCTTCTTAGAACGCGACCCCCCTCGCGATGACCCACCCCCTCGTGCGCCGCCGCCGACGGCCGTGGCTGGTCGGCCTCTTGAACTCCTCCAGGTCCCACTTGCCCTCTGCGCAGCGCAGCTCGTCCGCCTCCGGCTCCACCTCGGGGCCCGCGCGGCTGAAGGCCGCCGCGGCCTCCGCGCCGCCGCGCGACGCCAGCAGGGCAGACGCCTGCGCTGCGCGCGCCCGCCAGTCTTCGCCGCCGCCGGCGGGGGCCGCCTCGCATGCGGCAACGGTCCGCGGCGCGGGCCGCCGGGATGGGGCGGCGTTCTCGGCCTCGTCCTCCAGGCCCGCCGCGGAAGCCTGTTCACGAAGGGGGAACGGTGGGAACCTGGGGGACTATGGTGGAAACGCGATGAGAAGAACCAGTCGTGCTACCAACAGCATGTAGCAACACTCACACTCAGAGCCCTGCACGCGCGAACATGCCATCGCCACAACCTACCCCATTGGGAAGGCGCGGCTTCTCAGAACACGACGCGCTCAGGCAGCAACTGACTCGGGTCCCTGGGCCCACGAGCCTGCCACCAGGATCGTTTCCGGACGGCCCCGAGGGCCCGGGGAGGGCCCTGGGTGCCCGAGAGCGGCGAACAGCCTCAGGACCCGTTGTCCTCTCGGGGCCCGTCTGCTTCGTTGCGGGCCTCGGAGTCGGTGTCGCTCTGGTCGCCGGCCGAGGCCCCCCGGGCGCACGCGGGCACGGCCAGCGCCGGCGACGCCCTGCACAGCAGCGCGGCGGCCTCCGCCGCCACCGGCCCCAGCAGCAGCCCCTCCAGCACGTCCCGCGAGGCGGGACAGTCGCGAAAGGGGCCGATGGCGTCTGGGCGGGCGGAAGGGGGGGGGCAATGAGGAGAGAGGCTGCATCAGCTGGCGGCGCGAGCACGGGGAGGGCCCTCGCGCGCCGTGGCGTCGCCTGTCTGGGAAGTGCTCTACGTATACACCAAGTCGTCTGGCCGGCCAAGGAGCTATTTGTATAGACCCCCCAGCTTCCCGACCTGTGGGACGCTGGAGCGTCTATACACCAAGTTCCCTCGCCAAACCCCTTGGCTCCGTGGCTGACCACACGACTTGGAATCCCCTCAATGGTCGTCAACTTCCGCCTCCCCAGACACCTGACAAGGCGATGTGATGCTTCAATCCGCAGCCCCAGTGCTCCCGACCCCTTCCCTGGTAGCTTTCCGTACGTCCCAGATGCAATGTTGGTGGCCCCAGGGACCCGTAACAGTCCCCAGAAGTCAAAATCGAGGAACAGCGCTTGGTTAGAAACAACTCAGATCGTCGGAGATCTGGGTCGGCCCCCCTCCTCCTCATTGCCCTCTCCTCCACCTCCAACCTCTGACTGCGCGCACACGTTGCACACGCACGGCGGGGGTTAGGGCTCTGAGAGTGCGGGAGGCCCTCTTAGAAGGGGCGTCGGGGGGCTCCCGAGACGCCTTCTTAGGTCTTAGAATACCCTCGGGCCCTTTCAAGAAGGTCCGTTCCCTTTCCCTGGACCCCCTCGTGTCGTGAGGAAAGGAAGGCAAAGAGGCTTTCGACATTTGTCGGCTTGGGGACCCTGATCTAGCCCCAAGACCATTGCGAACTACTCGGGATGTAGACCTGGCCTTGCGGAAGTTGCCAGATCTCCGGATGCCCACGTTGTTAAATTGGCCTGACGAAAGACCCAACCACGTGCAGCTGCGAGTACCGCATTGTGGGTACCGCTTTCGGTGGAGCCCCTGTGAGGGGCGTGCCGAATTGGGAGCGGTGGTGCCATGCGAACCCTCCCACTGAAGCCTTCGGTGGAGCATCCTCGTGGGCAGCGAACCGTGTGAGGGGGCGTATCGAATTGAGCGCGGTGGTGCCATGCGAACCCTCCCACTGGAGCCTTCGCCAGATTGGGCGCGGTGGTGTCATACCCTCCCGAGCCTTCGGTGGAGCTTCCTATGGGGCCACGAACCATGTGAGGGGTGTGCTGAATTGGGTGCGGTGGTGTCGAGCGAACCCTCCCACTGGAGCCTTCGGTGGAGCTCCCTATGAGGCCACGAACCGTGTGAGGACCGTGCCAGAATGGACATGCGGTGGGCAGGGAGGAGGCATGCGGACGCGGCCACTGGGGCCTTCGGTGGAGCTCCCTATGGGGCCACGAAGCGTGTGAGGGGTGTGCCAGAATGGGCACGTGGTGGGCGGGGAAGACGCATGCGGACGCGGCCACTGGGGCCTTCGGTGGAGCTACCTATGGGGCCACGAACCGTGCGAGGGGTGTGCCGAAATGGGCATGCGGAGGAGGGGGAAGAGGGAGGAGGGGGAGAAAGGAAGGAGGGAACGCGGGGAACGTCTCTTCACAACGACGACCCGACACCGCAGGATGGTTGGGGACAAAACGCGACGTCGGAGGTCCAGGTCAGAAGCCCTCCCTCCGCCTTCCCAAAGGGCCGCCCCCCCCCGACGCGCCACGCCCCTCTGGCTGTGCGCCAATAGCCGTCAGACAGAAGGCGGGAGAAGGAGGCTAGCGAGGTGAGGCGGCGGCTGGGCCGTGGGGCACCCGGGCGGCCCGACGCGCGCGTGGCACGCAACGGCCGGGGCCGAGCGCCATCCGCGCGAAGGCAGGAGGATCGGGTCGGACGACGGGGGCAGGGCGTGGGCGAACCAACTCGCGTAAGCTGATTCTCCAGGCACCACCCGCGCCGGAGGCACCAGTGTTCTGAGAAAGCGCCGGGCGGCGGGGGCGAAACTGGCTGCGTGCAGCAGATGTCATACCACCCCTGCATTGCGCATCTCTACCCGAACATGACCAGCTGCCCAAGCTAGCCAGTCCGCAAAGCAAGCCATACCAACGGCTCGGCGACACCAGTGTGTCACGCGCGCGCTGTAGCGAATGATGCACCATAATGAAGCAGCGCAGCAATATGCAGCACACACGTGCCAACTGTATCATTGATCTCTTTGCGGCTCCAATGAAGAACTGGGGCGGCGCTCGCGCGAGAGCAACATTCGCAATCATGGATGTGGCTGGCGCTGAATCGAGAGCAACACTCGCAATCATATCTTTGGCTGGCGCTGAGGCGACAGCACCAGTCGCAGTCGTGGATGCGGTTGGCGCTGAGGCGAGAGTGATGCTTGCAACCACAGATGTGTCCAACACTGCGGTGAGAACTACGATCGCTACCATTTATGTGGCCGGCGCTGAAGCGAGAGCAACGCTAGCAATCATATCGGTGGCTGGCGCTGAGGCGAAAACAACATTCGCAATCATGGATGTGGCCCGGGCTGTGGCCAAAACAGCGGCCGCAATAGTGGACGTGGCCAGAAGTGAGGCGAGAGTATCTGTCTTGATCATGGGCGACGTGTCCCCCTGCACGCGCCCACAGGCTCTGGCTATAGCACAACCAACAGCACAACCGAGACAAGCACTACCATAAGCAACAGCACCATACGCAGCAGCATCATCACCACCAGCAGCAGGAGTGCGAGCAGCACAAACGACACCATCAGTACCACAACGCACACCAGCAGTAGCAACACTAGCAACACCAGTCTGACGACCACGACGGGGAGCAGCAACACCACAACACGCAGCACAAACGCCTCCAGAAGCACCACTGTGACCACAACGACAGCAAACAACAGCACCAAGCGCAGCAACACCAGAACCGCCAACAGAACCTCCGTGACGAACGCTACGCGAAGCACCGTGACGAACACGAGAGCGGTCAGCGACACCGAGCGCACCAGCACCAGCGACACCATCAGTACTCTTGTGACGAGCGAAAGGATGGCATCGCCGCGCGAAGCAGCAGCACAAACGCCACCAGCAAGTCCACTAGAACGAGCACGACGGGAACTGCCAATGCCTAGCAACTTGCGCTGGAACACGCGAGCGCACCCACCCCCCGCCAGAATGGCCAGCGGGTGGGGAGGCGCTCCCGGATCGTTCGATTTTGCGTTGGGCACCCAGGGCGCCCCTGGGCAGAGCCCACACCCTGTCCAACACCCCTCGCAACACGTAGTCCGTGCGGCAACAACACGAGCGAAACGAAGAGTTCCACTGTGACCAGCGCGACAGGAAACAGCATCACCAGCAGCAGCAGCACCACCACCACCACCACCAGCGCCACCAGCAGAACAAAGGGCCAGTGCCACCAGCAGTGCCTCTGCGCCGAGGACTGCCCCGCGCAACAGCATCACGTAAACCAGCATCAACGCCGACAGCAGCAGCAACGCGAGCATAACAAGCGCCACCAGCAGTACCGCTGTGAACGACACGGCAGCAACCAGCAGCAACAGCGCCACCAGCAGCACCACTGTGACGAGCATGAGGGGAAGCAGCTGCACGCCGCGCAGAAAGACCAGCGCAACAAGCAGTACCAGTCTGACCAACGCAACTGGGAACTAGTATTACCACGTGCGCACGTGCGCCCGCTCTAGCACAATAAGAAGCACAACCTCGACGAGCAACCAGCAACATCGACGCTAACCCTAGCAACATCGCGAGCAACAAAAACGTAACCAGTGGTATATGTGCTGTCAGCACGCCAGCACGCAGCACAACCACGCGCACCAGCACCAAAGAAATTCGCAGCGACGGGGAGAAATAGAAGCACGCGAAGTAGCATCAACGCCACCAGCAGTACCACTGTGACGAGCACGACAGCAACCAGCGGCAACAAGCGCAGCAGCACCAGCGACACGACCAGTACACTTGTGACGAGCACGGAAGGAAATGGCATCGCCGCGCGAAGCACCACAAACGCCACCGACAGTGCCAGCGTGACCAATACGACGAGAAGCAGCAGCGCAACGCGCATCAGCGCAAACGCAACGGGCAGCGCCACTGGGACGAACACGACAAAATCCAGCAACAATGCGCACAACAGCACCAGCGACACCAGAAACACCTCTGTGACCAGCACAACGGATGGAGCAGCACCACGCGAAGAAGCACACGCGCCACCAACAGATCCACTAGAACGAGCACGACGGAAACCAGCAGCCCCAGGCGATCCGAGTTGGACTGCGCCACGCCCCCTCCGCCAGCCAGGCCAGCGGGGGTGGCGCTCCCGTACTCCAGCGCAAAGCGTCACGGCAGAGATCGTGCAATTCTGCGCTGGACACCAAGGACACCCCAGAACAGCGATGCGCAAACCGTCCGCGCGACGCTTGGCTGGGTGCCTGTGCGAATCCCGCCCACGTGGGCAAGGGCCTGCCCGGCCCAACCCCGAACGGCTGTCGCTCCCGGGGGGACGGTTTGCGCCAGCCGGGACCTGCAATAGCAGCGCTGCTCGGGAGTGCCAGAGCAAGCGCGAGGACGGGGTTATTAGTGGCTCGTCGTGGGCCCAACATTAGCGCCCGCCGCCTGCCGCGCCCAGTCCAGCCAGCAGCTCCAACGCCTACAGCAGCGGCGCCCTGCCCGGTCAGCAGCGGCGCCCAGCCACGACAACAGCGCTCCCGGGGCACCGCGCTCTGCCCGCCGTCGTCCAGGGCGTCCGACGGCCGCCGCGCTGCCGGCGTCGCCAGCGCCCGCTGCGGCGGCTGCGCGCCCCCACGGGTCGAGCGCGCAGCAGGAGCAACCACAACCCGCAACAGCACCAACGCCACCAGCAGCACCAGTGCGACCAGAACCAGCAGCAACATCAGCAGTAGCACAGACGCCACCAGCAGTACTGCAATAACGTATCCAGCAATAGCCCCAACGGTGGCACCTCTGTGGCCATTGCGACAGCAAACAACATCACCACGCGCAGCAGCACCAGTGCCATTAGATGTAGCATTTTGACGAACACGACAGGAAACAGCACCACCACGCGCAGCACTACCAGCGCCACCACCAGCACCAGCGCG